TCCAGGAACAAGATTAGTATTTATGCCATTCAGATCTGTATGCTTGCTAATTATTTTGTCTGCTTGATCTAAGAAAGGCGTGAGCATTTTTAAAGCAAGTGGGTCATCTAGGCAGACTTGTTAGATTTTGTTTAGAAAAAAATAGTGCTGAGTGTCTCTTAATAGGCATTTTATTTTTGAATAGTTTTCAATTTACAGAAAGATTTCGAAGATAGTACAGAGTTCCCATATACTCCACACCTAGTTTCCCATTATTAACATCCTATATTAGTATGGTATATTTAGCATAATTAGTGAACCAAAATTAATAAATCATTAGTAGCTAATCATTAGTAGTACTCAGGACTACTTCAGTTTCCTTAGTTTTTACCTAACATCCTTTTTCCCGTCCCAGGATCCCATACCTTTAGTCATCGTTTCTCCTTAGGCTCCTCTTGGTTGTGACAGCTTCTCAGACATTTTTGACAACCTTGACGATTTTAAGGAGTATTAGTCCTGGTCAGATATTTTGTCCCTCAATTACAATTTGTCTGATGTTTTCTCATGGTTAGACTGTGGTTTTGGTTTTGGAGAGGAAGATCATAGAGGTAAAGCGTCATTCTCATCACAGCTTTTCAAGAGCACCATCCTATCAGTATGACCTCTCACTGTCGATGTTAACCTTGACCACGCGGGATAAGGCTGTGCACATGTGGAAGTTACTGTAATTTTTATTATATTGGAATGTCATTGTAACAATATTATGATGTAATGCAATAGATTAAACTCCAGAAATTTGGATTCTAGGCCTGTTTCTGCCACTAAATTGCTCTGTGAGCTATAGTTGGTCACTTCACCTCTCTGATCCTGAGAGTTTTTTGTTGTTGTAAAACCACAGGGTTGTTTGGCTGGGCATGCCAATCCGAACATGTATTCTTTTGAAATATTGTTTGCATGTTTGTAGTTACTTTTGAAATGTTTTCTAAACAATACAGGTTTGCAAATTGTGGTAGCCAGCCTCCAAGGTATCCCTAGTGAATAGGGTTGATCTTTTGTGGAAATGATGGCGTGTGAGGTTAGAGAATGACAGACATGACAGCTTCCACCATGTGTTCCATTGGATCACTTACTCAGGGGAGTCAGCCACCACGTCATGAACACTCCAGCAGCCTTATGGAAAGATACATGTGATGAAGGATCTTGCGCCTCCTGCCCATACCCAGTACCAACATGCCAGTGACTGAGGGCAGCATCTTGGAATCAGACCGTCCAGCCCCAGTCAAGCCTTCACATGACTGCAGTCTTGGCTGTCGTATCTACTGCCACCTCATAACAGACCCCCATCCAGAACCACCCAGTTAAGCCACTCCAGAATTCCTGAACTCCAGCAACAGTATGAAAGAAATGTTTATAGTTGTTAAAAGCAAACAAACAAAAAACAAAGGGTTGAATCCCAAGGCTCTGAAACTGTGTTCTAGGGCCCTCATGACTAGGAAGCTGTATGTGGGGTACTGACTGGATTGGTTCCCAGACTCCTCCCCCATTTAAACCACTGCAGCTCTGCCTTTGTCTGGTTTATATACTGAGGATCCATGTAGGAAAGGAGTCTGCTGCCAAAAGTAAGTTGAAAAATACTCGATTAGGGAAACACTGGATTAGATGACCTCTAACACTCTAATTCCATCTATCAGTATGAAAAAAATGCTCATTACAAACACACGGGCAGCATTTTCTTCAGGGCTCACTCTTATCCTTGAGGTTGGAAACAAAAACCCACAACGTGCTACTCCCTGACAAATGCTGCTCTTCCTGTGTGTGAGGTTGCAGAGTCCAGGTCATGGAGAAAGGGCTGCTCCTGCGGAGGAAAGAGCCACTCTCGGGCACAGCTGCTCGCCTGGGGCACCATCTGCGAACTGCGACGGGACAGATGGGTTTCCTTCTGTTACCAACATTTGGTTATAATAATAACAATGATAATAATAATGATGACATTAACAATATCAACAATAATGGCTAGCATGTACTGAGTGCTGTGTGCAAGACCTAGGATAGGGGTTTTCCATTCACAGTCTCATTCAATCCTCATGATGCTAGGATGGAGGCATTTTATAGACTGAGGAAACGAAGGCTGGTAGGTGAAATGATTCACCAGAGTCACGGATTAGCAAGAGCAGAGCTACAATGAAAATTCAGTCTGTCTATATCTCTACAACCCTTTGCCACCATTTCCTGTATTTTAGGCCGCTATTCAGAATGAGCAGTCCCTCTTTGGGTCTGAAACACTTTGATTTCACACTAGGAGGCTTCACTCATTCATGCAACTGACATTAGTGAGAGCCGACTCTGTGCCCAGGTGCTGTTGTAGGCACTGCAGACCGAAGGTAAGGCAAGCAGAAACTTGTGCTCCCTCAGGCTAAGCTGGGAGTTGCCTGGAGGAGGGCCTGGGAAGCCATCAGCTGCTTCTACTACTTGCAGCCAAACTCGGGGAAGGAGAGAAAGGGAAAGTTCCCTTCGGGATGCCGAAGACCAAGTCTGACTTGCAGCACAGCTAGAACATGCTTTCAAGGGACAGAAAGACTAGGCGCGACCTGGAGCTGGATCCCAGACAGCCACGAACCCCCAAAGACAGTCCTCCTAGGTATAGTTCCTCTAGGATAATCCCAAAGACAGTCTAAGTCTCTCTAGGAAGGCTTCTTGGGTCAGACCCAACACTGACTGCTTCTCTTGGCTGAGCGCCTCCCAGGGTTCTGCCAGCTGCACTACAATAAGCCTAGACTGGCGGCTTCTGTTAGTGAGCACTGCGGACATTACAGGAAAACAACTTGTTCGGGAACTGTATCAACACGAAGGCCATAGTGCTGAGAAACCTCGCTCTGTGAAATCGGACTTTGAGAAACTGCCTTGGAAATCGAGTCTGCAGCAGCATTGTTCAGAGATTTTGAAGCATGGTCTGGATTGCCTTTCAAACAATTTCTTGACTGTGATTCAATAAACTTTAGTTCTTTCGGTTGGTCTCGTCTTATGAACAATTCTACCCTTCGGAACTTTGTTTTGGTAAAACTCAACTGTTTCGTGAATGTATTTTGAGGCCCCAGCAAAGCTCCTCAAAGATGGGGCCAGCACAATTCTCTAACTCCCACTGACTTGGCCCCCTGGAGGGTCACTTCATTCCTGACAATGAGTCCACCAGAGTCCCGGGGCTGGGTCGGAACCTGTCCAGGAAGGGGCAGGGGTTTTAGTTCCACAAAGGGAAGGCAGAAAGGGGCTCTTCACAGGCAAAGGCGTGCCCGTCTATCTACGGAGCCCTCTGATGTCTATCTGCCCCAGCCTTCGATCAACTGTTGGCAGTGGAATGGAGCTGGCCTCATCAAGCCCGTAGCCTCACCTGCTGCTCCCTCATGCATTTTAGCACCAATACGCCAGGCCACCTCCTGAACCCGGGGCCACCAAATACTATTTTCTCTTCAAAATCCAGAACCAGTCCTTTGGGACAGGCTTGATTGCGCTCCTCACCCCCAGGCAAGGCTTCTTCTCAGGAACAGTTCTTAGATAACAAACCACACACACAGAGATACAGAGATTAGATTGGTGGTTTGATCTCGTTTGTGCTTCTGGCTGACTTTTGTTGTTTCCGGATGCTCTTACTCAGGGATCTAGAAGGCAAGTATCTTACTAGGGAGTACCTCAGTTTTTCTAGTGTGTCAACTCTGGATCAGCTGAAGAAGTAGGGGGGAGGACTGGGTCGGAGGATTTGACACAACTGTTACAGAAATCAATAATCTGCTCTTGATGATCTAGAGGGTGAATGCAGAGGTCTGCAGATTAACTTGGGGTAAGGTGGGACCTGCCAACCCAGCAGGGAACACTGGACACTGTGACGAGCGGGCGCCAGGAAGAGGGGCCCAGGGCTGCCAGGCAGTGCCAGCAGTGAGCAGTTGAGACCCTGAGTCCCCCACCTGGCTCAGCCCCAGCTGCTCAGGGGCCTGGTGCTCTCTTTCATCCCCGGGGGAAGCCCAGCCACCACTGTTGCCCAACTACCTACACCACTGTGGGCGGATCTGACACGTGGATAATTTGCAAAGCAATGAGTCACCTAATAATAGGAGCTATCATCACCCAGTCAACAAAGTCAGCAACAAAGCAACTTGTCTGTATGAGATCTAAGGTCAATACTGTCTATCCCATCCCTCTCCTGGGCTTTGTCAATTTAATTCTGGATAAGAAAATGTTATTAATAAAAATAAGCAACAGCAGTTATAAAAGTAAAAAAAGGTAAAAGAGGGCCTTTCCTTTTGTAACCCTATTTAAAGCATTCATCCTTCTCTGCCATGTGACGACAGCGAGAAGGCTGCTGTCTACAAGCCACGAAGAGGGGCCTATACCAGAACCTGATCTTGCTGCCACCCTGAACTTGGACTTCCAGGCTTCAGAACTATGAGGAATAAATTTCTGTTCTTAAGCCACTCAGTCTATCATATTTTGTCATGGTGGCCGGAGCTGACTTATACAGATACCAATTACTGATGCTTTTCTTCCGTCTAGTCTGGACAATGAGCTGCATGAAAGCAGTTCCTTGTGAGCAGTGCAGCTTAGTAAACCTGACATTGGCCTTCACAGGTAGGAGGAACCACCAAGTAATTTGTGAAATTACAAATGGATTTATGTCGGCCCATGGCCGAGCTGAGCCCTAAAGCTGTAGCTGCACATTAGAATCACCTGTGGAGCCTGCAAACTGTTGACATCCTGGCTACACCCTGGACCAATTAGATCGTCTCCAGGGACAAGGTCTAGCCATCACTAGCATTTAAAGCTCCCCAGGTGATTCCAATGTGCAGCCAAATGAGACCCATCACCCTATAGCTGAATGGGTCAAGTACTGCGATGAGGGGTCCTCAACTACAAGGAAAGACACGAAGTCCACATTCCTGTTTCAGAACTGAATGGCCTGCTTTACGGGTATCAATGGGATGAAGAGGGACAGAAGGCGATGTATCGTTTCAACAAACAAAAACAAAACAGCGTCAAGCTCACAAACGTACTTTTTATTTGAGGCAAAGAAAAGCCTGGCTGAAAGGGTTACAGTTTCAAGCAGGCAAAATCCAATTGTTAGTGGCACTATTTTGACTTTGTAGATTGAACTTAGTCAGAAAAGGGTATTCAGGTTGTGCTTTCCCCAGCGGGACGACAAGAAGGGTAAAGAAAACTGGGAGAGACTTCTAATCTACTGACGCTACTCTTCAGACCCAACACCACACTGGCCAAGCCCTCGCTGGTTCGTCTTCAGGTCGCTGATCCACTGCTGTGGGACACAGGCTATACCACGCTACATATGGGGAAAATGAAGTAGGAAACACACCAGCAGGTCACTTGGGGAAGAGCAGACGCCCACCGCTTCAAAACTCTTCACGGAAGGGATAATCCTTGTGGGAGGCACAGCTGTCAGGAGAAAGGAGGAGCATATTTGCTTTTCAAGGAAGAGATTTTGACCACAACAAATTACACAAAGACAGAAATGGTGAGTGTCTCACTATAGGCAGAAATAGAGGCCTCAGAGGCAACAAGCCAGTTCAGAGACTGCAGATCATGGGTCTGCACCTGGGAGCAGTGCCCCAGCCCTCCAGACTCCTCTGCCACAGGCTCTCATCAACTGGCACATGCATGATGGACACCACCCTTCCTTGTGCCCGGGGAGTGGAGGGTGGCAAGAAATACAATTCCTGCCTTCTGGTAACTCAGTCTAGTCGCAGGACCAGACAATAAGATCTTATTGTCTTAAACAGTAAGAGAGTGATAATAACATAAGAGCTTTTAGGAGTCTGTGTGTGTGACACAGCAGATGCTCCGAGTACACGGAGTGAGAGGCCACGTCACACCTCCAGAAATCAGTGGGCGCTGAAGTGAGCCCAGCATAGTCATCGAGGATTTGATACAGGAAACACCGGGGGGGTGGGGTACAGGCTGGGCACTGAGCTGGGAGTGGAGAGCTGCATGCGTGTTTACCAGTCCTATCTGGTAAGGCCAATGGCTTGTGTTGGGAACATAATGGTAACAATGCTGGAAAGACCAGCTGGGCAGAATGTGAAAGGCCCAGGGTGAACCCAGCTTGGGGCATGTAACTCTTATTGAAATATTCAGAGCCATTCAGAAGTTCCCCATGGTCTGCCTTTTTTTCTGCATCCCATCAGACTTGAGGAATATAACACTGCCATTAGCAACAGAAGCTCAGTATAGCAATAACTGCCAAAAAGAGGCAATGTATTGCAATGTATGTGTATGTACATAAATGCATACTTAGAAAAAGCTTCCTAGGTGACCTGGGAATGTCGGAGCCAGCCTCTCCCATCAGTAGCCCAGAGAATAATCTGACAGCTGTTTCTAGAATGGCATTAGAGTGGAGGAAGGCTAAATGTAATGGACTAATTGGACTGATTAGAAAACCACTGTAGTTTGTCAGCAGTGGGAAGGGAAAGCGGAACTGAATGAATGACACAGATTCTCAAAGGAGAACAGCTGTAACTTGGCGAAAGATTCACTTCTCTCTCCTTTGCCCACTAGATCCAAAAATGATTTTAATGTCTAAAGGTTAAGTATCATTAACACAAACAGGGCCATCAGAAAGGGCCCCAGTTTGGCGCTGCCAGTGACAAACTCTGTGGCCTCTTTTGAATCTGAGGCCATGCTGTGACAGCAGCACGCTCGCCAAGCACGTTCACACCTGAAGCATAGGAAAGAGTTATTGTCTAAGATGCAAACTTGACTGACATCTGCCAGAGTGGCAGCTGGTGTCACCAGTGGTGCAAACAGAACTGGGAGAGAGCGCGCACAGGGGCTGGAGAGAGAAAGCAAGCACCCTATCCCGTCTTGGGGAATGTTCAAATGTTGCTCAGAAGAGTAACTACTGAAAGGAGACAGAACCACCAGAGCGCTCAGACGACGAAAGCAGTGAGACGAGCTTCTTAGTCTCCACTGTAAAATGGGAAGTTTCTTCTTGAAAGCAGAAGATGAGTTTTAAACTTTATTCAGTTACTGCACTGGTAAGAAAAGAAAACCCACCTTCCTTGTCATCTTCCTCAGATTCCAAACTACCAATCAGAAGGAATACAAGGGACCAGCAAAGGTGCAGCTGGAGGGGCCGCGGGTGGCTCTGCCAGTCAGAGGCTTCGAGTGACTTTCTCCGAGTCACGTGGCCTATCAGTGTCAGAACCCTAAGCACCAGGCTCTTCCTACTAAACCCTTTTTATTAGAGTCGCTATGAGACAAAGAGTCACATGCAAATTCTTCCAGGAGGGTCGGGCAGGAGTCACCTGGGATCATCTGGTTTCAGATGAGCCACTAAGATTGACAATTAAATGCCAAAATATGTGGGTGCTGTAGTCAGGCCAATAGTGCACCTGGGCAAAGGGAGACGCTAGCAGCTCTCTCGGCATTCTCCCCATGGCTGTGCGCGGTTCACCTGACGTGGGTTTAAATGTTTCCTGCCCCACGCAGATGAGACAGCAAGGTAATATGCACAAGTCAGAAGGGCTGTGATCACAGGACTTGGGTGTTAAGGCCTCAGGAGTTATTCTTTTGTTCTGCAGCATCTGCTCCTCTCCCGGGACTTGCTCGATTGTCACACCCGGGACTCACTCACCTCGACAAGGCACAGACCCTCCAGTTCCTGTTGTAGCTGAGTAAGGTGGACATATCCGCGCTGCTCAGTTCAAAGTCAAAGACCTAAAAAAAAAAAAAAAAAAGGAAATTCCAATAAGCTCTGCAAATAATTTACAGGCGGCTCTGGGCAGGACCACTGATGAGATAGCTGTTGTCTTGATAGTTGTTGTTGGGTAGGGGGGGCAGTAAGGTAGGTGAAACTCAGAGAAAGTGTATTGCATGATTATTCAGAGAATGCACATGTTTTGGCTGGGACTATAAGGAACAATGAAGACAGTCCTTCCCTTCCAGAACCTCCCAGCAAGATGGTACTTTTTATTCCCTTCAGTTCATTTCAAAAGTGTTGAGCACTTCTATTGTGATAAGATATGCACCAGTGGGGAATATGATGATGGGTAAGAATGGTCTTTGCCTCAGTTTAAAATGAGGCAAAAGAAAGAGGTAATTCCACAGCTATAATACAAGGAAGAATGCATCGCACTCTGTATGAAAGATGCTACACAAAGCACTCAGGGCGTCCAGAGGAAGTAGAAAGGAATTCCAACTGGCGAACTGAAGGACGCCGTCAAAGGAGACGGTGTTTGAAATGGGCCTAAGAAGCCAAATAAGGTCTTGACGAAGCAAGAAAGGGACGCTGGAGGACGACCACCTGCGAGAAGAGCAGTCTGCTCAGGAAGAACCCGGCCCGCCTGCAGGCCAGGAGGCAGGCCCGAGGCGCCCCAGGTGAGACCGAGAGGGCCGTCAGCATCAAAGGACCACAGACTGTGCACAAAGAACGTCTGCGGCATACTCTGAGATTACAACTGCACAAAAATGTGCAAAGACAACAGAATAAGATGCAAAAATAACAGTCAGCACTATGAGATTAGTCATTTAAAAATATTTCTTTTCTAACACCCTGAAAAAATGAAATATGAAACAAAGGATCCATCTCCAGCTGGATGTGTCTCAAGTGGTCACTGTTTTACCACTTTATCTCAAATAATTACAACACCTGTACATAAGAAGAAAACTGTCTCCCCTACTAAGCAGGAAGCTCCCTTCCCCTCCCCAGGCCTCACTCCAGCCTCCCAGGTGACCAGTGGCACGTGTTACAGCCAGAGCCTGTGGCCAGTGGACTAGGCGAAATCAGCCACTCGCCGTGGAAACAGAGCCGCTGGGAACCAGAGCTCAGGTGAAGACGGGGTGGTGCTGGCGGAGCTGCTTTGCTTAGTTGGGAGCAGAGGCTCACAGGCACGAGGACCCTCCTGGGCACAGCCCCTACAACCGTGCGAGAGGCAGGCCGGGCGGGACGTGACGCCAGGCAGGCCGATCTGCTCCAGCGAGTGCTCTGAGGGCCCACAAAGAACAGCCCCCTGGTGCCCTGACACAAGCCCTGCTGCTCTGCTCACTGTGAGACAGGGTCTTGGCAGAAGTGGTGGGTGGGCTAAGTACCTGGGAGGTCTCTGCAGTCCACAGACTGATCAGCACAGCATTTCCTGAGTGCTTATGGAAGCATCAAGCATTACGTGAAGCCCTTTGATACATCTTATTTCATCTTTATGACAATCCTCAAAATCAGTATTTTTACAGATGGGGAAACTGAGGCATGGTAACTAATGGAGCCCTGATGCAAAGCCAGGCAGTGCTGCTTGAGAGCAAGATTTCTCAGGCAAACACTAAGTCACTGAGGAGGCTCAGCCTAGGAGTGTGATGCACAGCACGGGCCACTGAGGCACAGGGCCTGCCCCCACGCGAGGCCCACCAGGCACGGTACCTCCACCCATGAGGAGCCACCATCCTAAGTCCAGGGTTTGCTCACTGCAGCTTACTCAGGTGGGCTCCCTGACTGAGAGGTGACAGGAGGTCCCACACATGCCAATCCAGGGACGGGATCAGAGGCCCTGTGAAGAGCCCTCCCTTGTCCCCTTCTCCACTGAGGAAAACCTGTGCTGACCAGCTGAGATCTCACCTGAATGTTCTCAGCAATGCGTTGGGGTGTCACAGACTTGGGGATCACGACCACATTCCTCTGGATGGGGAACCGGATCAGAACCTGTGAGGAGATGTGCCGAGAGTGTGTGTACACCAGGAACTCTCTCTTATTATCTCGCTTCGTCTTATATATCCATCACCTGAAGAGGGAAATCCCAGAACTTCCTATGTGAGAAAACCGAGGCTCAGAGATGTTAGGGTCACACCCAGCAACAGGGAGGGGAGGCACTCAACCCCTGACTTCAGAGCCGCCATGCCATGAGTGTCCCCATCTCCCAGGTGTTATCACCTACAAGGAGACTATTCACGCCTAGGACTCATTCTCCCACCTGGGAGAGAGAGACCTTTTCCCGTGCAACTGACAATGAGCGCTCTTCTCTGAGTAGAGAGAGGAGCTTCCACATCCAGGAGCCAATGCGGACCCCTGGGGCAGCCTGTGATGGGAGTGGGCAGGGCCTACAATCCCCAGACCGCAGGGCAGTCTTCTAACTTCCCATCTGTGTCCTTTCTACTACATGCTCCAAGCCACACTTCCAGGGAGCGCTTGACCAGTCACCTCGGTCATCCCCCCCTGGCTAATGTGGACCACCACGAATGCAGGAAGTTCTGGGAACAGCCCCGAGCGCCTGGAAATGGCCGTACCTGGGCTGCGGTTTTATTGTGCTTGTCTGCAATCGCTTTGACCCTGGGATCCTCCAGTAGGGAAGGGTCCTCGGGCTTGGCCCTGGAGACAGAAAGAGTCTGTGTGAGCAACCATCGTTGCCACCACTCAAGGCAGCCAGCAACCTAACCCTAACTCCCATCGATCTCGGAGGGCAGCCTGCCAGCCTCCCCCTCGATTCGAAGCTCGGCTACAAACTCCCAACCCTTTGGGAAAAGGGCAGGCATCTTGTTGCTAGAAACACCAACCAGGAAACCCAACAAGAGACTCCTGGGAAGGTCTACAAATCAGTTCCAGAAGCATTTTCCTTGATGCTGAATTTTTCTTTTTAGCCATTTCTAATCTTCACCAACTGTGAAGAGAACACCATCCCATGGAAACTCACCAGGGCCTGTCGGGAGAGCCGAGAGGACTGTAGGCAGTCACCGCGATGCCTTTGGATTGGCAGTACTGGATTAGCTTCTCTTGAGTGAGGTACGGGTGGACCTCGATCTACAAGTGCAAACAGGAGGGCTGACGGTGCCCCTGTGGGCACAGGTGATAGGACATACAGGAAGCTTCCCCAGGCTAAGTCCCTTCCCTCCCCAGAAAGAAAATTATGTGTAACCAATGTCTCATCTTCCAGATAAGCTGTAACAACTGTCTATGTTTCCCAGCTAGTGTCCTCGCCATTAATAATAATCATCTTGTTACCAATCTACTATGGCATGGGCCCTAAGGGTTTTTTTCTGGCTTTGGCCCTTTATCCACTGTGACAGGTCTGAGGATCTCAGTGTCTGCATGCTACTCTTGAGACCCCAAGTCACCACAAGCCAGGCTCAAACCCTTTCTCTCCTGCAACATTCACTCCAAATCATAAATCAGGACACTGCCCATGCCCAGGGACCTGTCCTCTGGCTACTCCCTGGGTGATGTGGACAAGAAGTAACTGCCAGGATCAGAGAGTAACAAAACAGACTTCCACGCATATCAGGTTCCCTGCTGGATGTTTACCTGGTTAACTGCTGGCTTATGTTTTAAGCCAGGTTTGTTTAAGATCTTCTCGATCTGGACATGGTTGAAGTTGGATATTCCGATGGCTTTCACCAGCCCTTCATCCACCAGCTCTTCCATGGCCTAAAGACAAAAGAGGGTCTGCTCACTGCTGACAGGTGTCCAAAAGGCCAAGGATCAGAAGCGTCTTTTGCACCAGTCAGTTTAACAGGTCCTGCCCTTACTATTAGACCTTTGAGAAGCCAAGAGACACCAAGATAAAAGCCTGGCTGGCTTTAATGAGACAGGAAGAGCAAACACAGTGACAGAATGAGAAAATGCGGTGAAAGAAATGGCAGAGCAGATTGCTCACACTTGGTTCATGCACAAGAATAGGAAACCAGCAATGAAGGAGAAAGCCAAACCGAGGACCGCCTTACCGTCCATGTGTCCAGAAAGTCAGTGTCACTGGGAATCACATTGCCTTCCCCATCCAACGGGAAAAACTCCTTCCCGGGCTGTCGTTAAAATAAAAAAACAATCAATAACAGCCCTTCACAGACCTGTTGGGGGAGCTGCATCTTTGAAAGCAAAGTTCTAAAAAGATTATTCCAAACTAGGATAGCTGGCTAAGTTTACAGAAGATAAGGGCAAATCTGTATGTCAGTGTGAAAAAGAAACAAGCAGACAACTCCTGAGGTCCTCACTTTTTCTACCAAATAGTTGGAGCTGACTGTCAGATGGAGACGGATGGTTCTCAGTCAGTGAGACAAACCTCACCAGGGACTAGAGTGTGTGGATGGGAGAAGGGCTCCGGACCAGAAGTCACAGGGCCCATGGCCTGGCTGGATTACTAGCCTACAAAACTGTCACCTCACCAAGCCTTGCTGGCTTATCATGAAAAACGAGGAAGAAAATCAGGTCCTGATACACCATAGTGCAATAACAGAGCTACAGGATAAATCCACACGCTTTCCAGCTGGTTGACAAAGCAGAAAACTGAGCTGGTAGCTAGAAAGATGGCAAAGGACTCTAAGGTTCTTTTTGTGCAAAGAGTCAGGTTGCTGACCAAGAAATATTTATTAAGCTTCCACAGGACGGGGCATGTGTGTGGAATACAGGAATATACACATACACACGTGCAAGGTATGAACGTGTATGTGTGGACGTGCCTGGAGGCGGGGTGGGGGTGACAGCTGATGACACCTTACAGCTATGTGCAGAAAGGTCACCCAAGCCATGTTTGCTGTCACTAAGTTTTAAATTACACAATCACCAGATGACAAAGAGCAGCACCCTTAAACTCTTTACTATGCACGAGTCATCTGTGGCTCGGATTCAGAAGGCCTGTGTGGGGCCTGAGACTGAGTTCTAACAAATTCTCAGGTGATGCCACTGCTGCTGGTCCAGGGACTGCACCCTGAGTGGCAAGGACACACACAGAGCGTCTACCCACTCATCACCTGCTATAAAAGGAGGGTACAACACGCCCCAAACCACACCTGAGACCCAGGCAGCTGGCCTGAGCCCTGAGCCCCCACCTTGAAGCCCGTTGGCCAGTGAATGAGGTAGAGGTCCAGGTAGTCCAGCTTCAGGTCTTTGAGCGTCTTCTGGCAGGCTCCTTTCACCTGGCTTTTCTCATGGTACGTGCACCATAGCTGAAGCCAGAGAGAGAACGCATCTTATCACATCACTACCACGCAGGAAGCTGTTTCCTGGCCGGGAGCCAGACGGCTTGAAGACAGAAGATTAATTTTCCTCTCCCCACAACCCACCCATTTCACCGTGATGCTGTAAATGGTGGCGAGGGAGTTTCCATTTCACACCATGGATCTTAACTTTCCAAAGGAAGGTAGGATAATCAGGTCAAGGAAACCTCTCAGAAGGACCAAACTGAAGGCATAAAATAGAATGGATAGGTCAGCAAGCCAGCTCTAGGCCCTAGACATGAAATCTTTTCCTACCAGGCTGGTTTTTGTGGAGCCAGCCTCACCCTCCCACCCGGTGTCCTGTGGGCACCAATATCCTCCGGGTAAAAGATGGTGGCCAGTAGAGATCCAGCCCGCAGATGGGAACCAAGTTCTGACCTCAAAGATAGCTCCCTGGAAAGGGAGAGCCAACCCACAACCTCAGCCTCGTCAACAAGGGGGTCTAACCAATAGGTCTGGGTAGAACAACCATCCAACAGAAGGCCACAGACAGGTGAGCTCTGGAGCCTTGAGTTAACGTGGTTGCCCTGGAAGAACTGCCTGCCAAGTTATAACTGTAGCTGTATTAAGAGGCCCCAGGGTATGACCTTGGCTCCTAAGCTGATGCCGCCCTTGGAAAAATGTGAACAGGATCCCCATCCTCCAGGCTCCCCTGCAGAGCAGCACCTTGCTGACGATGAAGAGGTCCTCACGCTTCACCACCTGCTCCTTGAGCTTCTCCTGGATGGCCAGCCCCACCTCATTCTCGTTCTGGTACACGTGGGCACAGTCGATGTGGCGGTACCCAAGGTCAATTGCTACCTTCACAGCCTCTGTCACTTGGCCTGGAGGGGACTGAAAGGAAAAGGAATGGAACGCACGGAGTTAAAACCAGAACTGAAACAAAACACAGAGTTTGCACATAACCCAGGAGGAAGGGCAGAGTGAGCCTACCGCTCCTCCCAGAAGCTAGGTAGGGTAAGTCTCAGAAGCAGCATTCTAAACTATTCGCTCTGGGATGGGGCACTGAGGTGAAGTGCCACATTGCTTCAATTTAGGAAAATCTGACCACCACTTAATGGATCACCTTAAAAAGACGTGCCAAAGCCGTCTCACTTCCTTGTTTCTTCACATCCATCGATACACAAACCACTGTATAAAACATCCCCCATTCTCTGAATCTGTTAGGTTCCCAAGACAATAAGGGATACCATTTCCTTCAAACAGCTCAAAACATTTCAAAAAGCTGTAACTATCTACTCAATTCCTGGTTGGTTTTCGAGTTCAGTCAGTGAATGCCTGTGCTTTACTTTCTCCTTTCATGCGTGGATTCTGATATCAGCAACTGCTGGTTCTTCAGCAGTTCTGGGAGATTAACATGAAGTTGAGAACATTACGAAGCCTATTCAAAGGCCTGTGCTTCAATTCTCACCGTGCAAGAATCTGCTTTGAGTAGTGGAGGCAGGAGATGGCCCCTTAGAAATATTAACAGACAGAAATGAATTGAAAGGAGAAGAGAAATGGGAGTCATGGAAGATTGCGATATGATCTGCGGACAGAAGTGCAAAGAGACTGATCGGCTGTCTGTGCCCAAACCATCTGACCAATCGAGTGACCAGGATGGTAGGGGGGAGCCTGGCTGTTGAGGAGGAGGAGGAAGTGTCTGAATAGCCATCGAGCTTCACCAGCACCTAGATTGACTGCACAGACCCTTACACATCTCCTTGCTGCTCCTGCTCAGCCCAGAGAGGTGAAAAATAAACACATGTGCAACCAACAGCTGAATGAATAGAGTGCATTCCTCTGGAGAGCTGGAGTAGAAAAGAATCGAAGGGAAAACTCCCCAGGGCCATGAGCAGCTGCAGACATCTGCTGTTTTGACATTGGCTCTGGTGAACAGGCCGGCCGGGGTGGGGGGGGTGGGGGGGTAGGTGACCCCAGTCTATTAGCACCCAGAGCTGCTGGCCACCACAGAAACAGCAGAGGGGGTAGGGGGTGAGACTAAATGCAGGTCTCGGAGCAGGAAACGTCTTCAGACGATCTGGCAATTTCCCATGTCTCTGGAGGACCTAAGAAGCTGCACCTGCAGCCACGCCCCTCCGCTTCAAGGTTCAAAGAATGGAGCAGAGAATAGAACTTCAGCCCCAGACAGAGGGCCACACACTGCATCTGCCACAGCAACTGGTGCAGGGGCAGAGACACGACCCAAGCCAGGCCCACGAGACTCAATCCTTGGACTTTAGTTGGTACCATCAAGACAACCTTTCATTCTGCTGGGGTCACGTGCTGGGAGAATGTGAACCGGAATCTGCTAGAGGACAGATAAGGGTTGACAGACAGATAAGGATTGAAAGAGACCGATCCTGGTGACATTATTTATATCCTTGAATCTGGTACATCCGAGGTCATCCTGTAGGTCAATGAATCCTTACTTCAAACATACCATTTTTTCTGCTTAAGATTAAGTTGGTTATTTGGTTCCTTGGAACTGTACACACTAGGAGAATCAAGGTTGCTGAACAACTGGCACAAAATTAAGAAAAAGTTCACAGGGTGGTTTTATGGCAAAGTTAAGGACAGAAATGACCTGCAAGGTGCCGGTCCTGTAGTGTAGTGGTTAGGTTTGGCACGTTCCACTTCAGTGGCCCAGATTCATGGACTCAGACCCCAGGCATGGACCTGCAGCACTAGTCAGCCATGCCGTGGCGGCAACCCACATACAAAAAGATGACTGGCATACATGTTAGCTCAGGGCTAATTAAAAAAAAAGAAATGACCTCTGCGAGGTCATGAGGAAGCTGCTGCTCCCTGACCCTTCCCTGGACAGAGGGCTGATTAGTTGGAAAATGACCAAACTGCTTTCAAAGGGAAAGGAAAAACAGAAGCTAGGATTGTTAGACATTTCACAAATTAAATTTGTCGAAGTTGTGGCAATTTATAGCAAAACTCCTGTGAATGGAAGCTACATGCTGGCCTCCCCTTTACAGGGTGGAGGAGGCTGTGTGGGGCCACGTGCTCTGCAGTGGAGGGGGGAACCAATGACTCTCACCTGGGCTAGTGAGCCAGGCTGGTCCTGGGGCAGGCACACTAGTGAACGACTAGAAGGCTTGTGCCAGGGCAGATCACGTCACTGAACGGAACCCGCCCAGGGGGGTACTATGGACCAACTTTAAATGTATTATGGAACTGAATCTTCCCCACAACCCCGGTAGCTACTGCTATCTCTACAGATAAAGAAACCAAGGCACAGAGAGGTTGGAAAGCAGCCCAGAATCCTGCAGTTAGTAAGAGACGGCAGGATTCAAACCGTGCTGAGGACCTTAGAGGTCCTTCCTCCGGGGTGGACCCCAAGAAGCAGGGAGACACTCGTCAGTGAGAGGACAAGTCTCCTTGGCTTGGAAAAGTCATCCTCTGGGATGAAAATGAACCAGACTCCACAAACCACACTCAATATTAATTATCTCAATGCAGAACCCTTCCCACAAAGAGACTAAACTAACTTCCCCTATCACCAATGAAGCAGCCAATTTTGGATATGGTGAAAAAAATCACTCAATCAACAGAAATACTAATACATGATGGCACCATATTCCCATTCCATGTCAACATTAAAAAATGCAAACAGAAGGAATGATCCATATTGAGACTTTTTTTTTTTAAGATTTTATTTTTTCCTTTTTTCTCCCCAAAGCCCCCCAGTACATAGTTGTATATTCTTCGTTGTAGGTTCTTCTAGTTGTGGCATGTGGGACGCTACCTCAGCGTGGTTTGATGAGCAGTGCCATGTCCGGGCCCAGGATTCGAACCAATGAAACACTGGGCCGCCTGCAGCGGAGTGCGCGAACTTAACCACTCGGCCACGGAGCCAGCCCCCATATTGAGACTTTTGAGAAATCATGAAAATACGATTCCATACATCTAACAGCAAATCTGTCAACTGAATTATACAGATCCTACAAACTAAATCAAGCTTTAAACTCGATTGTGCCACTAATCTGCCCTGTGACTTGGGCACATCCACACAGGGCCACCCCTCTCAGATCATACAGCTCCAAAGCTCCAGCTTGGGAAGCAACTTGACGTTGTAGGCTGATGGCACCCAGTGATGGTGATGAGAAGTCTCTGCCCCCGAGGCTCCCGTCACCTGCACAAGATGGTTCTCCCTAGTTCCACGTTTCAGAACACTCCCAGGCCAGCTAACACCAACTCAGATGATTACTGTTAGACTTTCACTCTCTCACACACACCCCTCTCCTAAAACCTAATCATCTTGCCCTTTGCTTGTACCTCTTGCCAGTTACTTTAACATCCCTCGCTATATTCCCTCTGCAAGTCAAAAGAAAACTATAGCTCCGATCCAGAAAGGTTATCAAACAGTGTAAACGGTAAAAACAAAGTATCTCGGCAATTGAATCCCCTGCAGCATTAACCAGGGGGATTTCTGGGAAGAGGGGACTGCGGTCTTTTTGATGCATTTTTTGGAAATTTTCTCTAGTTAGCAAGCATTACTTTTGTAATGAAAGGCAGAACGGGGCAAAGAAAACTTCACTTCGGGGGAAAAAACCCATCCTGGGTAAGAAGTACGAAACAGTGTGCCAATGATCATCCTGAGGCAGGAATGGGAAATGACCGCTTTTGATGTGAACTGAGATTTAATAGAGAAACACGGCCATGGACTTCTAAATCCTTGAAAAGTACCATATCACAGAAAAGCTGCCAGTGAGCGTCAACCTCTTCCCATTAAACCAGCTCTTCTTAGAGAAACTCCACCTGCATTTAAGAGAAACTAATTATTTTGTTATTATTGGCTTTGTTTAAATACTAGTGATGTCACAATGTAATTTTCTATTTTTCATTGTAAGTGTAAATCATTTCAACCAGATGTGAGTTAAACAGGCATGTGTGACCTAACTTCTCAAAATGTAGTCCAAGTTCCAATTAATTTACTTAGGATCTTCTGGAAGAGGAGTTGGCAAACTTTCTGGAAGGGGCCAGAGGGAAAATCTTTTAGGGTTTGTGGGCCAAAAGGTCTGTCACAACTGCTCAACATTGCTGTTGCAGCCCAAAAGCAGCCATAAACAATACATAAAGGAATGAGATGTGTTCCAATAAAACTTTATTTACAAAAGTAGGCCTCTGGATTGTAGTTCACCAAACCCTATGTATGCCAGAAGAGCATACAAAGAAATGCGGTTTAAGCAATAGGCACAGCCTCGCTTTGTTCTAACTCCTATTTACAAATATCATTCTCGTTTCCAGTTCAGCACCTTGATAACAAAAAGTTAAGTATTCTGACGCTGAATACAGGTATTTTGGTAACTGAAAGAGTTCAACTTCTGTCCTAATTTAACCAATTGACAACATAGTCCCAATCAACTGTGGGTAAATCTGAGCAAGCTGGGCCGGCTCGCTCTGAGATTACACGCGATGTTCCCACTCTACAACACTGGGAGACCAGGATCTGGCAGCTTTGTATAAACAAGGCTTAAAATGTGCCACATAAGGTTCCAACAGAATAAGCATCGGGGAGAATCCAGAGGATGACTACAGCGTGCTACCTTTCACCTTCTATACACAGTCAACAGAAACGCTCTTCGTTATCTGATGTAGATAAGCCACCCTCACTTGGCTCATGCTCAATCATTTAAATTCATTTTACAGTTTAATAATGTAAACTGCAACTTCAAATGATAAAAACGTAGTCAATTTGGCTACTATTTTACATCAAAGCTCATAATCAAGTTTGGCAAGAAACACAAACCAACTAACAAAACTGAAAATAACTTCCTTCCGCTCGACTGGAATCAATCTGTCCTGAATTCTAAGGCACTGCTGTCTCCATTTGGCTGAGATGGGAATGGACCAGGGCTGGCAGGAAGGACTTATTTGGATATCTTCGGTCTTGGAGAGTGTGGGGTTGAGGGCTGCAGGGAGATGAGGCCAGTGGAACAGAAAAAACAAGGTACTGTTTTAGCTCCAAGGCCAGCACCTCTACCTTCTCCCCGGTCCCAGAATCTCGGAGCCATTACAAGCTAGCCCCACTAGGGGAATGTGACAGGAATTCTCTCAGGACATTTTCTTCAACCTCACGCATTCTTAAAGGGGGGATATCACCTTCAAAGAGGCAAAAACTGGTTCACGGGGGGGGGGGGGGGGGGG